GACACGCACACACACACAAACACACACACACACACACACGCACGCATACACACAAAACGCACACAGAACACACTTACCACGGAGAGCACGCATAACTCACACGTAGCACACACACACACACCTCACGACGCACGCACACAACACACACACACGCATATCACATATCACACACACACGCCCGCACACACACAAACACACACACACACACACATACGCACACACACAAAGACACACACACACACGCATGCACACGCGCACATACACACACACGTTAGACACTACATTCTCACCTTGCAAGTGTGATTGTATGAGCATTGGCACTTGTACCCCTTTCAAGAAATTACAAGTGAGCGGCGAAAGAAAACGGGGTCGACTGCGCCGACATTCGCGTGGACGTTTCCCGCGTAAGGCAGCGCGTGAGCGCTCTGGTTTCCAATGTGACGTGCCACGCTGGCGGCCCGCGTAAGAAACCGCGTAGGGTCGCTTTGCCATCTCGCGTGAGACCCGTTTCTTTTCGTCGTCCCATTGTTCCGCTCTGAAATGGGGTGGCATGTTTGTGTAGCTTCCGTGGGTGCCGGCTCGTAGCATCGGGAGCACGAGTGCGTCGCCATTTCGTAGGATGGTGGCCTCGGAGACGCGAGTGCGCTGCCAACGTAAAAAGGATTGGAGGCTCGGGGGCGAAGAGGCGTCGCTCTTTACAATGGGTTGTAGTCCGCGGCATGCGAAGATGTTGTTCCCCATATCCTAAGTTATGGGGTTGCTGTTGTTGCTGGAAGGCCTCCGCCCCATCATGCTCCGTCCTCCCTCGCTCACAGTCAGACTCACCCGCGCTCAGACTCACACTGACATCCACTCGTACTCGGACCCACTCATACTCTGATTCTTACCAGCCTCGAACGTATCCCTATCCTTAAGATTGACACGCCAAAAGGCGATGCCAATCTTAGGGATCCGCCTTCAAAAAATAAGGGAACCCCTGAGATTGCCATCGTGATGAGGAGGTGCCCAGCATAGGGATAGGGATATGTTCCAGGCTGATAAGATTCGCCCGCTTGCAGAGCCATCCACATCCGGATCCACGCACGCTCAGATGGAATCGCATACCGGTTCGCGCGTGCCGAGAGCCCGACGCAGCAGGCATGGATTGCGGGCGCTCCTGGGGGGGAGCCGCCACGGAGCGCTCCGTCGCCACAGGCCACTACACTGTTGTTTTGTTCTCGCTCTCTCTCTCTCTCTCTCTTTCCCTCTTTGTCTTTTGTTTTTTCCCCAATCAGAGCTTGCCTCTGTAGGGGTCATGGCGGATTCATATGGTTAGGTTAGGTTTGCCGCCGAATTCCGCGGCACGCCCAGGTGCCCGGGTGCCCGCTTGTGCCCGGCTGCCCGGATGCCCGGGCGTGCCGGGGGGTGCCCAGGTGCCCGCCAGGTAGCCCTGTAGCCTTATAACCCTAGAGCCTTATAGCCCTATAGCCCTCTAGCCCTATAGCCCCCAATAGCTTTATAACCCTATAGCCCTAATAGCTCCATAGCCTTATACCCTTATAACCCTATAGCCCTATAGCCCTATAGCTCTCTGGCCCTCTAGCCCTGTAGCCCTATAGCCCTATAGCCTTATAGCCCTATAGCCCTATAGCCCTGTAGCCCTTTAGCCCCATAGCCCTATCTTATTAAAAAGATTATGATTGGGGTTTTTCTCTGGTATCATATTATGTTTGTTGTTGTTCTTTCTCTCTCTATCCTCTCTCTCAGGCATTCGCAGACGGGAGTGCCAGGACCAGAGATGCACATGTGGGGATCTCTGCGTCGAGCGATGAAGTACCTGGAGCTGTGGCCTCGGGAGCGCGAGCGCGGTGTAAGTTGCGAACGGTTTTGCCTCTGGGGGCGCGAAGCCGCCGTGGTGCACAAGGGATTGTGGCCTCGAGAGCTCGAATCCAGAAGTATGATGTACCAGGAGGTGTCGTGGGGAGCGAGAGCGCGTCGTAAATCACACGGGGTTGTGGCTATGGAAACGCGAACGCGTTGTAGTTTATTCGGGGATGTGATTCCAAGGGCGCGAAAGTCTTGCAATGCAGGGGAGCGGGGAGCGCGAATTCTTTGCATTTGTAGGGGGGGGCGGCTTCGGGAGAGAAAGTTAGAATCGTTTGGGGGCTCGGGAAGCCGAATGCGGAGTGATTCGCGTGCGTTTGTAGCCCTGGGAGCTCTACTCTACCGTAACGCACGGGGGGCTGCGGCCTGGGGAGCGCGAGCGTGTCGTAATTGGCTACGGGGGCGCATTCCGATTTCAATGTGCAAGGGATGCGCCTTCGGAGGGCAACCAAAGGAATCGTTGCGCAAGGCCGCCAGGAAGGGATTCCTCCCTCCTACAAAGCTTCAGCAAGCAAAGGCATTATAGTTGAGAGAGGTCCTGGACAACTTCTAGACCTGCCGGAAAGCAGACATTGACACAATCCACTTGTGTTTGTTCTGTTCTGGGGGAGGTGGTGGCGGGCAGCAGCAGCAACAACAACAAAAGCAACTCAGGATATCCGGTTGTCTTTCTTATGCTGGCAGATCTAGAACTGTGCCGTGACCTTCTTTTAAGACGAATCCCTGCGTGCCGGCTTTACTAGCGATTCCTTTTTGCAAGTGCCATACACTAGGGTTTTTGTTGCCGCGGCCTTACACAAGGATTATTTGTGCGGCAGCCTTGCAAAAGGATTCCGTATGTCAGCCCTTGCACAAAATTACGGTGGGCGGATTTGCACATCGATTCCCACAATACTGCTAGTCCATCGAATATTTTGCCAGGCAGAAAGGACAGCTACTTTAAGCGAAGAGAAGAGAGGAAGGGGGAAAGGGACGCAACACAGCATATTTTGACATGGTACTATATGTATATATGCATGGACGCGTATTCATATGTATATATACATGGTAAGCAAGGGACGCGAGAGAGGTTAACACACACTAGAAAAAGAAGAAGAAAAAAAAGCTGCCCAGAAAGAGAGTGAAACGGCAGAGCGAGGAGGGGACGCCCCCCACGCCGATTAAGGCCTACTAGCGACTACGACGACTACCACTATTATGATCCCTTCTACTACTACGACTACTCCGATTGCGAATGATACTGCTACTACTACGAGTACTACTATCACTACTGCTACACCGACTACGACCCTCACTATCACCACCACAGCTGCTACTACTACCACTACTACCACCACTAGAATTACCGGTGCGAGTAGTAGTAGTAGTAGTAGTAGTAGTAGTAGTAGTAGTAGTTTTGTTGTTATTTGTATTACTACGACTACGATCGCTACTACGAGTACCACTACTACGACGACGACTACGACTACTAGTACTACGACTGTGATTCCTGCTACTGCTACTACTGCTACCTACTACCACTGCTACTACTATTACTTTTCTGCTACGGCAACTTCGACGACTACCACAACTATTACTACTATTGCTACTACGATGACGACTACTACTACTACTACTACTACTACTACTACTACTACTACTACTACTGATACTGCTACTGTTACTCTTACTTGTACTACTACCACTACGCTTACGATTATTTCTGTTACTATGACTACCACTACTGTTATTGCTACTGCTACCACTACTTCAAGTACTACGGCTATTACTACTACTACTACTACTACTACTACTACTACTACTACTACTACTACTACTACTGCTACGACGGCGCCTATTCTTACGATTACTATTACTACTGCTAGGAATATGACTACTACTACTACTACTACTACTACTACTACTTCTACGATTCGTATTACTACTACTACTACGACGACGACGACTACTATCAATACCACAACTACTACTGCTACTATTTCTACTACTTATACTACTACCCTTAGTACGACGATTACTCGTATGGGTTGAAATATTATTACGATTGCCAGTGCTGCTACCATTGTTACTATTACTTTCCCTTCTATTTCTACGACGTCTACTACTACCACTACTACGACTAGCATTATTATTGCTACTACTAGTACTCCTACTCATGCTATTATCTGTACTACTCCTACGACAGCTACTGCTATCATTATTACTACGACTACTATAATTACTAATACTCTTACTTGTTTGCGTACTACTTATATTACAACTACGATTTCCTCTACTACCTCTACTACCACTACTACTACTGCTACTGCTTCTAACTATTGCGACGACTACCTCGCCTTCTATCAGCAATACTACTACGACTATTGCTACTACTAGTGCCACTATGGATGCCACGATCAGTACTACCATCATTTCCTCCACTCGTCGTTCTCCGGCTTGTACTTCTATTTCCGCTAATATTACCACTACGCTTACTGCTACTACGACGACGACGACGACTACTACTACTACTACTACTACTGATTACGACTACTGCTACTACTGCTGGTGCTGTTACTGTTATTACTACTACTATGACTACTACTTCTGCTACTCGTATTCGTACCAGTACTAGTACAACGACCACTACTACTACTATTATTATTATTACTACTACTACTACTACTACTACTACAACTACTACTACTACTACTACTACTACTACTACTACTACTACTACTGCTGCTGCTGCTGCTGCTGCTGCTGCTGCTACTACTACCATTACTACCGTTGCTACTACTAGTGCTAGGATCGATAATACGACTACCACTACTACGACTACTGCTACTGCTACTGCTACTGCTACTGCTACTGCTACTGCTACTAGTACTACGACTACTACTACTACTACTACTAGTACTACTGCTACTACTACTACTACTACTACTACTACTACTACTACTACTACTACTACTACTACTACTACTACTACTACGACTACTACGACTACCACGACTACTACGACTACTTCTATTACTATGGCTACTATGGCTACTATTAATATTGCTGTTGCTACTGCAAGTATTTCCCCTGCTACAACCCTTTTCCCCCCATCCTTCCTATGTGTCCCCCTCACCCCGCGACGGCCTGGGTTGCAGGACCAGTTCCGAAGGCACCTGGAGGTATCGCCAGCAGATGGAGGCTAGCGAACGACAGGTCTTCCTTTTTGTTTCATGTGTCCCTCTCGCTTTCTCGTTCTCTCCCTTTTGCTCTGCACCGTTATATATACATTTATATATATACATATATATATGTCTCGCTCCCTCTCTCCTTCTTTCTCTCTCTCTCTCTCTTTCTCTCTCTCTCTCTCACTCTCTTTCTCCCCCCACACAAATCTGTGCATTTGTTTACTTATACACAAACATGTTTACGCATGCGTCTACTTACAAAGGCAGGTGCTTCCCCACACACACATATATATACATACAGACATATACATACCTACTTCCTTACCTACATACCCGCATGCAGGTCGCCTTATGCTTCTCTATATATGTTCATATGTGGTTATTTCTCTCTCTCTCTCTCTCTCTTCCTCACCCTTATGTCTCCCTCTCTCTGTCTTCCTGTGTATATATATATATGTGTATATAGATTCCGCTCTCCCTCATACGTGCAAGCACATATGAGAGAGAAAGAGAGAGAGAGGAGGAGAAGAGAGGAGAAGGAAAAAGAGGAGGAAGAGGAAGGAGGGAGCAAGGCTGCTAGAACAGGGCTCTCCGACTGGGCGAGAGATGTAGTGAGACAGTTCGGCCAGCAGTTGTCGGCACCGACGCTGTGTGGCTCAAGTGCTGATCAGCGGATCTTTCGCTTAGGCACGTAGTAAAAGCAAGATCAGTGTCACGTTCCGTGCGCATTTTTTTGCAAATTGCATGGTATCGGAGCGAGGTTAAGGGTAGCAGTAGCAGCGGCAGCAGCCGCGCCCGCTCGCCCAGGTGATATGGTCCCGGAGTTAAATGCCCGTCAAGACCGAAATCAATGGTTCAACCCAAATGCAGCGACATACAGCGAATTTTGCGAAGCTGCGCGCTACGGGGGTGAGTACATTCATGTGAACGTTGCGAACCGCAACATGCACGCGGAAAGGGGGGCGAAGAAGCTGAATTTAATAATCGCACATTTGGGGACCAAACCCACGTGCAGAAAAACATAATGGACCAGGTGGCGAAGATAACTAGCCGAATCAATCGCAAAAGGAAAGAACAGGGTGGGGAGCAACCAGAAACCTGTGAGCGAATACAGGGCCATGCAGCAGTGCAAAACCTTCACTGGCGACAAGGTTCAGGTCCGTTAGTGGGGCGAAACATTGTTGATCGCCCTTGCCCAGTGAATGCCACAATACCGCAGAACGTTAAAGATCTTGTGTGGCAAGCTGGAGACCATGGACGGAACGTCACAGGGTCTAAACGGCGACGACATGATCAAGATATTCAACGGCCGGTTGAAAACATCAGAGTAAGCAAAAGCTAACATTGCAAAGTCGCAGGAAGACGATGACAAAGTCGAGTTCGACATCAACGAATAAATGGTGTACACGTTAGATGATGATATGTGGTACACAGTGAATGAGAACCTGTAAGTATCCCTGGGGACAGTTTGAAGGCTTTTCCGCGGACGCCAGTCCCCGTCTTGGGGGTGGCGCCTCACGCATTGAGTTGCGCCGCGGTTGGTGCGCTGCTCCGCGTGGGGATGTCTACCCCAGCACGCTTTCCCACCAACCAGCGCCTGTCTTGGTTTGCTGCACTCTCGTTTGGGTGCCCGTTGGAGGCAGAGCAGGAGGAGTGCGAGGAGGGAGGGGGACGCAGGGAGGACGCGGAGAGAAGGATCACGGATGAGGAAGATCATGCACAGTCGAGTGCATGATCAACAACAGAAATATATTCGACGGCCATAAGAGTATCAACTTTGCGCGCACACCCATGGTAGCATGGCTTCCGCCGTCGAGCCATTTGTGTGCTTCCGTGTGCGGTCTGTCCTTCATTCTGCGGGCCCGTCCGGCTACCCCGTTCGCGAGGCCACGCAGCGCAGTACGTCACTCGAGCGTTGTCTTAGGCGCCCGCATTTCGCAGTATTGAAAGGAGTGTCTTTAGATGAGCACGGAGGTGGGTGCGCAACGCAGGAGCTCGAGATCTAGTCGAGCACACACACATACCGCGTTAGTGCGCTGGTGCAGACTTTGTACATATGCCGATCTACACCATATGCACTATAGCTACACATAATTGCATCAACATCTAGGTATGGTGGATAGCTGCTGGTATCATGGCGATCTTCGCCGGCGTCTTCGCGTTGGTCCCGCTCTACAAGATATATTGCCAGTCCACGGGGCAGGGGCAGGCGCAGGCGACTGGCCACAAGGATCCAGTTCTTCCTTTATGTATGTTTTCTGTTGTTGATTTTTGTTTCTCTCTCTCTCTCTCTCTCTGTCGTTCTCTCTCTCTCTCTCTCTTACGTTCTCTCTCTCTCTCTTTCTCTCTCTCCCCCCGTCCCTCTCTTTCCCCATCTCTTTCTCTCCCTCTCTCTCTCTCTCTCTTTCTCTCTCTCTCTCTATCTCTCTCTCTCTCTCTCTCTTTCTCTTTCTCACTCTCGAGCCCTCTCTCTCTACATGTGTAAATTCATTCGAGGGTGTGTAGACATCTAGATGCTTAGATGCGTACCTCTCTCTCTCTCTCTTTTATGTGTGAGTGCTCGCATGCGAATCATCTCGCAGAGCCCGAGCGCCGCTGAACGCGACTGGCTCCCATAGCCATCTCTGGACTCAAAGAGCGAGGCCCAGCGTGGGCCTGGACTCCGGCCTAAACCTTGTCCGAAGGATTGCAATCCTGGGTTTTTTTGCAATCCTTTTTGCAATCCTGTTTTTTTTTGCAATCCTTCGTTCAAGTTTTTTTGCAATCCTTCGTTCAAGGGTTTTTTTGCGAACTCGCTCGGCCTCTCTCTCGAGACTGCCGCGAGAGTGGAGGCCAGCAGCTGCCCGCCCGTGCTGGCGCGCCGCGCGCCCCCCTTCCCCGAGCCGACGTGCGGGCTTGTGGACCCCGTCGGTGTAGCCGGCAGCGGCCGCTCGCGGGCCTGGACGGGGCTCTTGGCGGGCGTCGGATTGCAAAAAAACCTAGGCTTGCAAAGTTGGGCGGGTTTTTTTGCAATCCTTCGGGTTTTTTTGCAATCCTGGGTTTTTTTGCAATCCTTCGTTCAGGTGCGTGGTCGTCTCTCTCGGCTATCTGTGCAGTGGTGGCCGTGGGGGGCGCCGTGGCGATGGCTGCCCCAGTCCTGCCCAGGCCAGTCCGTGGCACCGGCGTCTCCTGCTCGTGGCGGTGGCGCCATCGGCGACTGGACACACTGGTCGCCACGCCCGACTCCCAAGCATACGACGAGGACCTCGGCCCCTCCAACGTGGGCATCGTCGGGATCCGTTCCTCGAGCCAGCGGCGGCCTCCGCCGCCTGGAGTGGCGCGCGGGATGTGTTAGCTGAGGAGCCTGCCGCCGCTCGGGTGGCGGGCTGGCCCGCGGAGGCGAGCGCCCGCGCCGTGCAGCTGAAGACGAGGCTGGCGGCCACTCCTGCCACTGATCGACGGCACCGCCACACCGCCGCTCGTGGGGCCCCGGCCCCCGCCGCCGTGGGGGGGGGGGGCTTGCAGACGCGGTTGCGGCGCCAGGCGCCGCCGGCGCGCCCGCGGCAGCCGCTGGCAGCTAGCTCGCGGTCGAGACGCGCGGCGGGCTCAGCCGAGCGAGTGTGGTGATTCTCTCGGGCCAGGACGTGGTGCAGGGCACCCATCGCGGATGCGGCCCGACGGTGCGCCTCCGGATTGGGTCGTCCTCGCCTTCGTGCCGAGTGGCAAGGAGATCGAGTTCGCTGGATCCGAGGCTGAAGGGGACGCCAGGCTGATGGGCATCACCAACCTTGGGGATTAGCGGCTTAATAAGGCCGTGTTTCGCACCGCTGTGGAGACAGTCGTGTTGGCCTCCTTCACGAATTACCCCATACATGGCCCGCTGCACTGTGCCGTGACGCCTGCAGTTCATCAGCCGGCGGCATGGAGGGGACATCGACCACCGCCGGTTCTGAAGCCACACGCAGTGTCTCAAGATGGAGTTCTGGGGCGTCGCCGAGCACCGCATGATGATGCAGACGGTGGACCTGGCCATGATGCACGACGGAATGGACATCGTAAGCCTGGGGGCCTTCGAGCTGATGATGGGCAAGGCCCAGTTCATCGAGTGCAGCTACTCGGAGATGGGCGGCGGCGGCAGCAACAATAATGACAAGGACAAGAAGGGCGACAAGGGCAAGGGCCGAGGAGGCCTGCGCATCGGCCTGTATGACGAGGCTCGCATCGCCATGGGAAGCCACAAGGAGCTCGGCGACATCATGGTGCCTCCCCACCTCTCAGACTACGTGTCGAAGCAGGTCGAGCGCGACGCGATCGTGCTCAAACGGGTCCGCAGGGCCCGCGGGGAGCGGGCGGCGGCCTCCAAATAGCCCCACGAGGAGACTGTCCTGCCAGGCACGCAGCACGGTCGGGCGCCGGCGGGAGAGGATGAGAACGGCCTCTCGCGCTTCCGAGGGTGCCCACGGACCGCGTGGTTCGGAGGCGCCTCGCGTTTTTGGTCTTGGCGACAGACGGCAGCGAGATCTCTCCCCTCCCACCCAGTGCCTTCCAGGGGCCAGGCAATGTTTCGTCCAGTGCCCGACCGACGTTGTCCGGGAGTTCGCGTCGGCGGTTCGGTTCACATCGGCATGAGTTGGAGTGGGCGAGTGACGCGGCGCGCTCGCTCAACGAGACGTGCGCCAGGCCGCTCGGCATTGGCGAGCAGAGGGAGCTGGCGCCCCAGCGTCATCCTCTGTTACTGGGCCGCATCTCGCCATGCGCTCGGGAGGCGGGTCGCCCACTTCCTGGGCCGACCAGCCAGGCAGCCCCGAGGGGGCTTCGTGCCCGCTGGGGCCGCGACGGCGACTGGGGCCGCGACGGCGAGCCCGCGACCCTGGCAAACCTTGAAGTTGACCGGCCGGCCCTCCTCGATCGCGGGCACCGCCCCGCTCCAATTGCTGCAGGGGTTATTCGGGGGGCCCCGGCCGCCCCTTGCCAAAAGATGTGGCGATGCAGCGCGAGAAGGACTCGGGGATCAGATTTTTGTTTGCGGGCGCTCGTCTGCGCGATCGCCGCCGGCGCGTCAGTCTGACCCGGCGGCCCGCGGCGCGCGGGTTCATCGAGTTCAGGAAGTGCCGCGCGGAGGGCGCGGGCGCGCTCGCCGTCCGCGTGAATGGCGATTGGCAGAGGGCGAGCATCGATGCCAGGGTGGGCCACTGCTCACCTCGCCGACCCGCCAGACGTGAAGCTGGCCAGTGGGCAGAGCCTCGCGATCCTCGAGGTGGACGCTGGTGCGCCGATCTGGTCGGGGGGCGTAGACATCGCGAAATGCTTCTACGCGCTGGAGTTCCCCGAGGAGTTCCGAGGCTACTCTGCGCCGCGCCCCCGCGCCTCCGTGCAAGGATGCTGGCGCGTCCGCCACTGTCGAGGGGTGGGCGAGAGGGGATTGGGCGATCTTCCCGTGACTGAAGGTTGTACCCATGATCTGTGGCCAGGCGCTCATGGCTCGCCTAATGGCGCATGGGTCGATGGTCACCAAGATCGAGGGGATCTCGGAGGCCAACTGGATGGCGGACGGTTCGGCGGCGCCACCCATGCGGTCTCCGGAACGCCTTTCTGCTAACGAAAAGAAGGTTTTCCTCGCCCGCCGTGAACCCATATCATATCTGTAGGCAGCGAAGTGGCCTGTGTCTAGCAACTGATGTGATGCCCAGCATGCGTTGGATCATAAGCGAGCTAGACCCAGCGAGCGAATCCTCGCGTCTGCGCGCCCCTCCGTTACCAACGTCAGTTCTTCGCCGTCACTCTCTCGGTGTCGTGCCGCATCTTGGCTCAGACCTTGCCGTCGTTGGCGCGCATGCTGGCGGGCCGACAGCACCGCGGCCCTATCGCCCCCGCCTTACTTGCAGTGCCTCGGCCGGCGATGCCGCGGCGCACGGAGCCGCTGGCGGCGCCAGCGGTGAGGGCGACTGCCGGGGCGCTGGGCCGCAGCGCGGCACTGGTCGGCGCAGCGGCTGGAAATGCCTCGCAGGCAGCAGAGGTCAAGGCCAGACGGGCAGCCCAGATGAAGTCGCGGAAGGTCGAGGCCAAGCAGCACTGGGAGGCCGATGCGGCGTACCTTCCTGGGGCGGAGGCGTTGTGCGGCACGCGAATGGGCGAGTTCGAGCGCTGGGCCCAGACCGAGGGCCTGCCGCTGGGCTCGCTGACGAAGCGGGGCGCGGCCCTGGCGAACTACGCCGCCCACCTCTTCTTCAATTGCCACCCAGCGAGAGACTTCAGCGAGACGACGGCGGCGGTGGTCTTCAGTGGCCCGACGTGCCCAAGTCAGGCGTGGAGCTGTAGAGGGCCAGGCGAGCTCATATCCGTTTCTACAAGACGGCGCCCGAGAGGTCGCCAACCTGATGTCCCTCCGGTTCGACGCGGATTCGACGTAGATTCGGCGCGGACTCGACGAGTCCGACAAGGAGTGGACGCGGACGAGGGCACGACGTGACAGGCAAGGCCGTCCGACGATCCCACGCCACCTGCCAAGTTCCGGGCAGGGTCCCGCCATTTCTCCGATGGCCCTAAAACAGGGCCAGGATCGGGATAAGTCGCTCCAGAGCGTTCCGGAGCGCTCTCAGAGCGTTCCGGAACGCTCTGGAGCGGCCGCGGCGCCCAATACATCCTCCAAACCCGCCGATTCTCAGAGAGTTCGAGTTATCCCAGTCCGATTTTGTCCCGATCTTCGCGTCGTTTTAGGCCCCGCTGGGCGAGCTCGCGTCTCCCAGACTGGAGCCCCGCGTCTCCCCGGCAGGCCCGCGCGCCGCGCCCTGGGACCTGCGCCGCTCCCTTTCCTTGCGGCGCGTGCTCGTCTCCTGCGGCGGGGTTTGGCTTGTGGTCGGTGGATGGGCGGCGCTCCCCTCGCGCCGATCCTCGTCCTCGTCGTCGTCGTCGTCGTCGTCGTCGTCGTCGTCGTCGTCGTCGTTTGAGTCTGTCGCGTGCGGTTGGTCTTGGAGGTGGGCCTGGGCGTCACGACGGATGGCCGCGTATACAGTCGGGGCCCTGAAGAAGGAACCCTTTTCGTTGGGCAGGGGCTCCGCGTTCCTTAAGTGTTTCGCAGCTTGCCTCAGGTTTCCCTTATGTTTTCGATCGGAAATCGAAGTTTAACTGATGGAAAAAGGGGCCTCGTTCCTTATTTTGGGTTCCTTAGGTCAAGGCCCCGACTGTATTCGATCCAGCGCTTGAGCCGTCAACTCCCTCTTAGAGGAAGGATGTAGCCGTCAACTCTCCGAATAGACGCACCCCCATTGACGGCCCCCTTCAGAGTCGACGAACCCTCTTCCTTCCGGTTTGACGAACACCCTTGACGGCCTCCTGAGAGTTGGTGGCCCTTCCTCTGGGGTGGCGCACCCCCGCGACGGCGTCCTTCCGAATTGGCGAATCCCCTAGACGGCCCCCCTCGCCGCATCCTCCGTTTTGGCGACAGAACGTCGGCGCTGCGCTGATGGTTAGAAGCTACATCGGCTTTGACGAGCAAAAGTGCCGGGGCCGAGTTGGCGGCTCCTGTCGTCCTGACGAACGAAGTGTTGGAGCTGAGCTGGCGCTCTCTTCAGTCCGAGCGAAAGCGGTTTTGGGGCCGGGTTGAGCTGAAGTCTAGAGTGTCTGGGCCGCGTGGGCGGCACTTGTGGGCGCTTCTCCAGCTGCACTCAAAGTCCTCGTCCTCGTCGTCGTCGTCGGCGCAGGGCAGTGGAAGCAGCAGAAAGCAGGCGCTGAGCTCACGAGGGTCAGGGAGCAGGCCCTGGGGCTCCACAGAGCGACGTTGATGAGCGTGTTTTCCACCACCACCACCATTAGTTGGAGGGGGGAAGGAGGAGGAGGAGGAGGAGGAGGGCGAGGAGGAGGAGGACGAAGAGGAGGAGGAGGAGGAGGAGGAGAAGGAGGAGGAGGAGGAGGAGGAGGAGGAGGAGGACCTCCCCCTCCAGCTTATGGTGGTGGTGGTGGTCGTGGAAAACACGCTCATCAGACGTGGCGCGATGCCGAGCTCGGGGCCCCTCCTCCGGCGCACCCTGCCTCTGGCGGGAGGCCGGCGGAAAAGCTGGCGGAAGGAGAGCGGCGGGCGGCCCGCCGGCGGAGGTTCGGCGGGCGGCGGCGGCAGCGGAAGCGAGCCATCGGATATCGATGCTGCTTCGCCTACAAGCCTCGTCCAACATACTCCAGATTTCGTAATAAAGGGAGGGAGGTCTCATTTCGGGGGGGGTCTCTTCCAGGCTATTCTTGGCGGGCCTGGGGGGGTCTGGGGACGATGTTTTGGAGGGTTCTCCCACGGGGGAGGTCTGAAATGGCTTGTCTTGGAGGGTAACATATTCGGAGGCCTGGAAATTGGCACCAACATCAGGACAGAGGGTTGCCTCCACCACGGGGAAGATGATCCAGGATTTTCGGTGTTGGTGGTAATAGTTCGGCCACCTTGGAAGCCAGAATATTACCACCATCACCGAGATCGGGATCTGCTTCCCCCGGTGGAGGCACACCGCCGAAATTGGTGTTGGTGTCAATCCCTAGGCCTGCGATATATCCAGCAGTGGAAGTTGAAATCCTGGAGCACGATGCTCTCGTGCGCTTGTCAGAAAGCGCGCTCTTCAATGCTGAGAGGGTGGGGTCGGTTTGGGGACAACATCGCGTCCGAGTCAAGAGGCATCCGTCAGCACTGGAGTAGCGCTGACCCCACAGTCACCGAATTCAGAAGTCTTCTGTTTATTTTTGACGAGGCTTGCAGGGGTTGCTGCAGTCGGCCGTGTAGACGTTTGACCAGAGCAGCTTACGGCAGCCACTGGTCGGTACCAGGCGGGCGATGTTGTCGTTCGGGTCGCACAGGCACGGGAGGGTGAGGTACGACATGGCCTAGGAAGAGGTAGCAGGGAGGCGGGGGATCGAGAAGTGGGATTTCTTCGCATTCGGAAGAGTTGAAGGCCGTGTGATGTACCTTCCACATTGCGGTGGAAGTGGTGCTGAATGCGGGAGGCATCGGGAAATGCGAGGACGTGCGCGTGCCTTCGGTGAAAAGTGTCCTTTCGCAGAGGAGTATTCGGCGCCGCCAGATCCGGGTTCACCGGAGGCAAAGCGGCTCATCACGGTGGATTTTGCTGGCACAGTACATGACGGGCTGCCTTGGAAGTTCATACCACAGCAGCGTCTGCGGGGGCGGCAAGAAAGTTTCATCGGCTGTGTCAGTTTTCTGCTGCGCCTCGACGGCCGCGATGCTCTGAGCCGTCGATTGTGACAGGATGGCGCTCGTCTCGGGATTTGTGATTCGTGCTGGGCGATGCGCGGAGGAGCTTGGTTCAGTGAGACAGCGGCACGTCGAGGCCGAGCTCGAAGGGGGGGATATGGAGGAGGGGAAGGGCGGAGGAGCCGGAGGGGTCAGGAGGAGGAGGGGCAGGGACGCGCCAGCAAACCATTTTACAACACCGGCGAGGGCAAGGGTCGGCGGCGAGCGAAGGGGGGAAGTGAGAAGGAGAAGGCCTTCTCAGAAGGCGGCGGGACTTCTCAGAAGCCCTCGCGCCTCCTGAGAAGTTGCTTCTGTCGTCGGGGAAGGCTTAGAAAACTTTTCAGGAGTCCGGTGGACTTCCGAGCCTTCTGAAAAGGCACGCCCCGCCCCTTCTCACTTCCCCCCCTGGCTCGCTCGCCGCCGAATTTGTCCAACACCGGCGAGGAGGGCAACGGGGACTGCCGCGCCACGGCGAGCACCGCAGGGTGACGAGGCGGCTCCTCCGCGGGAGGTCCACGGGGGCCCCCACGGCGAGAACGTGCCCGTGCGAGGAACACGTACACCTTAGGCGATGCTTAAGAAAACTTAAATTTTCGGCCAGAGGCTCGATTATTCTTACTGTTTCAATGTAAATCCTAAGATTGTAATGGAACTGTTGGGTTTTTTATTCAAGTTCTGAGACTATGAATTTCTTAACCCATGATTTCTTAAGCATTTCGCAGGGTGTACGGCGAGAACGTGCCCGTGCGAGGAACACGTGTCGAAGAAGAGAAAAAAGCATAAGCATACATTGGTGGCGCTCCGCGCGGATTTCTTGGATTCGCGTGGGGCCCCCCCGGCGGCGCCTCCGGCGCCGCCCCCGACGCCGCGCGCCAGGGAAGGAAGGTCCTGCGCGGATCCCAGACATCCACGCGGAGCGCCAAAAGTTTCTGTTTATGCAGTTTTTTTCTTTTTCTAACGTGTTCAGAGCGGTGCAGAGCTGGCCTCGCCTTACGTCGGGAGTGTCCCTCCACAGGAGGAATATTTGAAAAATAATCATGAAAAAGCAGTCGGGGGACCATTTGTTGACAATTTGTTTAACATTTGTTTTGAGTATTCTTCGAATATTTGTTTCGTCCAAAGTCGGCCTGTAGAGGGACGCGCCGACCACAGCCTCGCCTTCGGCGCCGCCTCGGCGGAGGCAACGCGGCGGCGGGCCCGCCGGCGAAGGGGGTCGGTGGCAGGCGGCAGCAGGCGCGCGTCAGGCGTGGGCATCGCGCCAGCGCGGCGGGGCGGCACGCCCAGCGCGGGCGTTCGGGGTCGAACGCCTGGGGGGGCGCTTGCTCTTATGGTGAAGCGCTACTCGAGCCTGCCTTCATTCGGAGGAGGAAGGGGTACCTCTACCCCCTTGCCCGTTTTCGCCTTTTTCGGCCTCCTGGGAGGCCCTCGTCGCCACCGCTGGATTCGCCTCGAAATCCTGGTCAGAACGCACCCCGGGAGAGGTCTGGGGAGTAGCGGTATCCGTATCTTTTGGTGCCCATAGTTGACACGCTTGCTAGGAACAGATGTTGCGCTTGCCTTGTTTGCGAAGCGCTACTCGAGCATGGGCTCGTTCTGCAAGGTACCATCGCACCTGTGACTCTTCGGCTCGTCCGTACGTCGGCTTTTCTGAACGCCCCAAGACCTTGCGTGGACGCCCGGGGTCGAGCGATCTGCGCCATCGGAGAGCCGCGATTGTTCAGGGTTGAAGTCTCCACGCGGCGTCAGAAGCCAGCGCCGGCGACGCCGCGACGCGAACCAGCTGATTTCCCTGACCTTCCAGGAGGGCTAAACAATAGCACGCGACTTAAAAACCTATTCCAGAGCTATTCAATGTCTTGGTTTTAGGCTGTTTCGTTTAGTTTTTTAGGTTTTTAGCTTTCCCGTGCTAAAAAATAGCTCGCTGGAAGGTCAGGTTTCTGGAGGCGGACCTTTGGGATGTCTGGGCGGCTGGATTCCGAGTGTCGGTGCTCCGGCCTTGCGTCCCCGCGTCCGTCTTCAGTTGGCGCCCCACTGCTGCTGCTGCTGCTGCGATACTGCCCCTGCTGCTCCCCCTCCCCCTGCACCCCCTTGCCCATTCCCCTCCCCCTTCCCTCGCTGCCGATGCTGCTGCCCCATCACCCTCCTCCCATTCCCCCGTATGCCCCTCCCCCATCTCTCCAACTGCGACCGCTTGGATTGACACGACCTGCCATGGACAGCTCTGTCGTCTCGCCCACGCCTTCGCTCACCTGTGCATACGATTTTTCGGTTATCTTCGCGTCGCTCTCTGCTGGCAGCATTATGTTGTCACGCTTGGCCTCGGCCTCACACTGCATGTTGTCGCGCCCTCCACTCCTCAGAAGAGAAAAGCATTCCCCCTTCTTGATAAGCAATAAGAGTACCCCTAACCCTATGGGAGGGGACCTAAGGTAGAAGGCCAAAAACATTTGGGATAGGGGGTCCTTTCTGCAGATGTATCAGACCAGATCGCCCAGATGTATTTCCCCAATCAGAGCTTGCCTCTGCATGGTTAGGTGAGGTGGGCCGCCGATTTCGGCGGCCGGCCCGGGTGCCCAGGGGTGCCTGGGTGCCCAGAGGTGCCCAGAGGTGCCCGGAAGTGCCCGGGGATGCCCGGAGGTGCCACGGGGTGCCCGTGCCCGGGGGTGCCAGGAGGTGCCCGGGGATACCCGGGTGCCCAAGTGCTCCATCGCCCTATAGCCCTATAGCTTTGTCGCCCTATAGCCCTATATATAGACCCATAGCCCTATAGCCCTACAGCCCGATAGCCATATAGCCCTATAGCCCAGTAGCCCCATAGCCCCATAGCCCTATAGCCCTATAGAACAATAGCCTTGTAGCCCCATAGCTCTATAGCCCTATAGCCCTATAGCCCTATAGCCCTATACCCAATAGCCCAACCGCCCATATAGCCTTTTAGCTCTATAGGCTTATAGCACTTCAAAGCCCGCATGGCCTTCATAACCCTCGCAGGCTTCATAAACCTAAGGAGCAATTACACAGGGACCTCATGCACTATCAAAAAAAACGACTCTGATTTGGGTTTTCTCTGGTACCATATCCCTAATGTGAAGACGGGGACCTCAGTGAGGCCACGTCTTCACCATGTTACGTATTAGGGTCAGGGGTTCCAGAACGGTGAAGGGCATTTGCCCCCCCTCTGACCTGCTCGTGCCGCGATGCAGACACCACGACGGCAGGCTCGCGGCCGAAGTCGGCTTCCTGGGGGCCCTCCCCGGGGCCTGGGAGGCCAGAGCACGACGCGGGCTGGGAACCCAGGCCCGGTTCCGGACCTCAGGTTCGGGAGCCACCTCTCGGGGGCGAAAAAGAGGGGGGTGATGACTAGGGGGGGTGGATATCATGGCGGGGGCCATGATATTTCCCCAGATTTTATAGCGCCTCTTCTTATTTCATTACGTCGCTGGCCCCCCCGCTGGGCCTCGCACATGCCGCCGGTCATGATTTGCACCCCCCCCCTCTTGGACACCCCCCTCTTTGCCGCTCCCGAACCTCGTGAAAGCAATCCGCGGCGCCAGATGTCTGGGGAGGGGAGGACCAGGCTCATGTGGTTCCAAAACAAGGACCCCAGGGAAAGGGACGTTTGAGACGGGCGATGCCGATTTCCCACAAGCCCGTTCGGCTCCGCCCAGAAGGTCTCTCCGCGTGACGCTCTCGCTCGCACTCTTCGGAGTCTCAAATGCAAGGCCGCCGCTGGCGTCCCTTAGGAAACTCGGGCCGGACGAAAGGGGGGGATTGGGAAAGGGGGGGGTACGAAATTAGCTGCATGCAGCTGGTTTCGTCCCCCCCGAGGGGCCCATTCCTCGATACATCAGCGCCGCCGGCGCCGGAAGGCGCCGGGAGAATCAGCGACGTGAGCTGATTCTGAACTCCCCCCCTTTGCTATCCCCCCCTTCCGCCCGACCCGAGAAACGTATCACAGGCAGGCCCGAGATGAGGAGAAACCGCCCGGGTGGGTCCGGAGCTCGCTGAGAAGGCGTCCCGGATCGCTCCCGGGCGGCCCCCGCGCCCGATCACACATTTTCCAGACCCGCGGGCTCTCAGAGGTTCCCGACTTGCCTGAAGTCGGGCCTGTCCCTCTACAGGAGGAATATTCAAAAGTAGTCACACAACAAAAAAACTGGGGACGGTTTTTCTAGTATGTTTGACTATTTGGGGGCATTTTGTGGGTATTTTTAGTTTTTCGCCCAAGATCCGCCTGTAGGGGGACATGCCCGACCTAAGGCTTGCCCTCGTCCGAAGGCATCCGCATCTTGTCCATATTGTCTTCGTCTTGTGTCCCAGCGGGAGCAATCCGGCGGGCAAGTGAGAGGGCAGAGAGGAGGCCATCGCGTCGTTGCCCGCGCGTGGCAAGTGTGGCCCGAGACGCAGGCGCAAGGATCCAGCGCATTCTCCACCTCGTGTTGTCCTCTTATCATTGCATTATCATTCGTAGCTTTGTTATGATTCATGTTCATCCCCTTTCTCCTTTCCCATCCTCCGCCTCCTCGGCGCGAGCACGCCCAGAGCGAACGTTTCAGTGGCTTTCCCTGCCTCTCTCTCTCTCTATCTCTCTCCCTCTCCCTCTCTCTACTTCTCCCTCTCTCTATTTGGATATACAGCGAATCGGGGAAATCGCCTGGGTGGCAGCGTAGCTCGTTCGCGCGAGGTTTCGAGGAGGAGAAGGAGGACGAGGGGTGGAAATGGAGGAGGAGGGGGAGGATGAGGAGGAGGTGGAGCAGGAGAAGTAGGACCAGGACGAGGATGTGGAGGTGGAGGTTGGGGTGGAGGAGGCTGCCGAGTCCCACTTCCGCGCCAAATGACCCTCCAGGTCGCGTGGTCGTGGGACTGGGGGAGACCGCGCTCGCGTTCTACCGCGTCAGGAATATGAGCGACAAGCCGATCATAGGCGACCCAGCGGGGGGGCGGCGACTGGAAGGACAGAAACGGGAGCGGTGGGAAGTTTCCGCGCAGAGTATGTTACCGTCCATTCTATTGCCAACGTTGGGCGATGACGATCTGCAACGGGTAATCTTGCCTCCCCGTTGAGAGGCGCGCAACGCTGCTCGATGATCAGCGGAAGGGCGGAGGACGCCGAGACAGGACGATCCTAGCCTTCTGTGGCGTCGCGCGCTGCACTGCTCCTGCTCGGCTCGGGGGAACGTACGACTCGAGCACACCGGAACTCGGGTTTGCCTACGCTTTTTGACGAGCGCGCCCTGGATTTTGACAGCCCAGCTGTCGTGGGATGCTTGCAGCGGGAGTTCGCATCAATTTTCGGATTGGGTCTTGTCATTTTCATGATGGCCAAAAGTCGGGCCTGTCCCTCTACAGGGGGAATATTCAAACATAGTAGAAAAATTGTCGGGGGGGGTTATTTTATGTGTATGTTTGAACAGTTGTTGGGTATTTTTAAACTATTTTCAATTTTTCGTCCGAGATCCGCCTGTAGGAGGACACGCCCGACCTAATGATGGCCCCGTGAGGCCAACCCGCGTCCCCTGCACCCGAGTCTTACGTCTCCTCGATCGACCACCAAAATGCAGCAATAATGCGCCTCGAGCCGCCGGGCGTCCGAGGAAGGATGCCGACAAAAACAACAGGAGGAGGAGGAGGAGGAGGAGGAGGAGGAGGA